TCTCCCTGAAGAGTCCGCCGACGCTGAAGATCGCTGCGAACCTCATCCAGATGACTGCGCCGCACTTGCTGTGCTCGCCATCGCATCGCCGCGCCGGCCTCCCTTCGGCGTCGCCGAAGAGTACGGCGAATCCGCATTCTTCCGCGGCGCGATCGAACTCTTCTCGGTCGAGGGCCTCTACTCCCTCATCGTGAACCTCGGCCAGTTCGTCCAGGCGAAGCCTGACATCCTTCCGGCCGATATGGCCTTCCCCTTCGACTGCCGCGCACTCGAACTTCACCACATCGCCGCCTGGCTCGCACTCCTTGGCCTCAGTCCAGGCGATCAGCGCATTCGCCAACTCCAGCACCTCGCCACTGCGATGCGCTCTCACCTTCGCGCGCCGGACTCCGTCATCCCCACCCTGGCCGAATTCACCACCCCTGCATTCCTCGGCACTATCCCCCGCAGCAGCGTGCCGAATTTTGGTGCACGCATCCCCGAGTACACCTCTGCGCCGGACGTGGAGATGAAGGCTGAAGACGCTACCCCCCGATCGCGTCGAGTTCGTCGACTGGCGCTGTCGTGTCTACCTCCGCGGCCCCTGTGTCCCCTCCGCTATCTCCATCTCGTCGGGGCCCAGCGTTGAGCGCAAGTAGGACCGTCACTGCGGTCCAGAGGAGGAGGATGTTAAGGTACGGGCGCGCAGGGCGCGCACGTGCCGGATTTCGGTGCCGGAGTTCGGCGTCCCGGCCGAATTTCGGCCACGCTGCGAGCAGGGCTCGGGCGTCTTGACTTCGGCGAAGTATTTCGCCGAACTTCGGCCATCAGATCGGGCGATCTGAGACCATACGGACTCTTATGTACTCTACGCGCGTCCCACGGACGCGAGCTTACCTCCACCCGCACTACCGCTGTATTCGTTACCTCAATCGAAGGTTTGGACGAGTCTGGCACCGGTGCGATCGTGATATTGTCATTTTACAGTGGCGCTCTAGTGCTGGCAGCAACATATGTATAATGGTCATTCTCATCCTCCGGGTCCGAACGAAACATGGCGAACATCAACACTGCGTCAGTCCATGATGGACAGTGTCTCCGCGCGCTTCACGCGTGGTGAACAACACAATGCGTACACAGCATTACTATCATAGTAGCGTCAGGAACTTGTCTCCCCACCTCACAGGATAATATTTCAAGCTCCCTCCCCAATCCACAGTGCCCGGATCCATCGTGGTTGTCCCCCTTCCCTTGGGGGCCAAGCTTCCTAATTTTTCATTCATAACCCTGCACCCACTGGCATTCCATGCGTTATGCTCCTACTGCACCGCGACAAACAAAGGTCTTTTAGTCGCAGCGCCTGTGGGAAGACGCTCGAGTCGTGAGCGCCGCCCCACATATTCGCCGAGTTCGCTTGCCCCGCTTCCGGAATTTGTCCTCAAACACACACTTCGTCGAACCAAGATCCTCAGTAGAACACAGAAGTTGTGTCAAGTGAAACCTGCCCGTCCTGAATTGCCAACGGTGGCTCCGGAAGCCGGACGACCGGCGCGGCGCGACGCTGCTTCCGCGCGTGGTAGAGCGCCTGCCCTCCCCCGCCATACCTTCATCGCACTGTGCGAGGTTGTCACGCATGGGTAAACCTTCTTCTGGTCATTGGTCTCCAGCATGGAATTCCGGGGCGCCAGGCGGACCGATACCACGGAGACCGTATTCCCGCACGTCCGGGTGGAGATGCAAATGCAAAGCGAGTACACATTTTGGACCAAATCTCTCACGGGCGCAAGCGTCGCGGGGCACGGAGTTGAGCAAGTCGCAGGGTTGCGGTTCTACATGTCGGTCGGCGGGCTCGTCCTTGGATAGAAGGGTACGAATAGCGACCCCCATGCTGCAATTCCGGGGTAGTATAAGGCGAACACAAGGTCAGTGTGCACGAACGTGTGCGTTGCGGACGGGCCCTGTGACAAGATAAGGAGGTGCGACGTAAAGCCGCTGTAGATTTTTGTTTGAAGGCACCTTCGTTGGCGGGATGCGCAAGTTCGACGTTATCTTGCTTGAGTGCGTACGTCGGGACCGAGAGACGCGACGCCTGACAAAGACAGACGGAAGAGTGAGAAGCCGCATAGGATAGGAGGATTGCAGCCACGGGGAATGAAACAAATCACCTAAACGAGTTGTAGAATGCGAGAAGTGCACGGCACAGCAGAATAGCTTTCATATACCCGGTGTCTCCACGGAGCCGAAGCGAGATGAAAGACCACGAAGAGTCGAAGACGAAGCACGATTTTACGAGAAGGCTGGCGACGTCACGTTGGTGTACCTCGTCGGTCTCGGTGCAGACTACAGTGGCAGTCCGAGAATGGCAACCAGTATACTTACTGACGATCTGTATAATCGAAGCGGATGCAAGGCGCCTGTGATCATGTGCGCGCGGGTGGACGTTAAAAATTAAGGCCGGGCATGACCTCATGGCTCCCCTCTGGGACCGTCGAGACAGCGGGAGCTTTCCCAAGTCCGACAGAGGATAGGCCCACCCGACGGCATCGGGTTGCAAGGAGGCGTAACAAGAAGCGAGAACGTACGGACATGAACGGCCCCCGACTGCTTCTATTGCCTGCTCTTGCCAGGTTGTCGGGCGCACCCGAGCGCCCGGGATGCTTGATACTAGTCAGATCCGAGAGCCAAGGATCTTCTCCCGACCACATATGCCAAACACGTCGATTGGTTCCGAATGACCGCCGATTGAATGAGGCGCGCTTGGAAAGAGTCAGTACTTGACTGAAGCCAAGAAGTCAATCAGAGCGAGATACCACATTCACGAGTCATGTCCGTTCACGGAGTGTTTTTCTCCTCATGTGCAACTGCACGTAACTTGCGCACACGCGACCGACGGGTATAAGACGGTCAGAAGTGCGGCATTGGCATACCTAGCGTGTCTCCGAGGGTCGAGAGAGGGTGGCAGCGAAGTGGTGCCGAAATCGACGTGGCGGGACAGAGAGGGGTGCCTAAAACAAAGGACGGCGTGTGTCAAAAGATTGGGCTGCTGAGAACCCTGATTCACATGGATGCACCACAAGCTGCATGAACACACGGAGATAACAGTAAGGTGCCAATGGTCCGCTCATTCGAACGGCAGAGAAGACGCGGCTCCGTCCGAGATGTGGAGCAGTGTACAACATCCCCGGGCTGTGATCAAGGGACGGTGCTATAGCAGTGCCGGAGGCTGGAGCGTCCTGGCGAAGGTCCAACCGACGTCGAGGCTCGAATCGCGAGGCGCGTACGCAGCGACAGGCTTGTTCGTAGACATTTTAGGCCAACAACCAGCTCCCCCGCGGCACATGCTCCCGCGGAGGATTACGCCACCCTGGGCGTCGGGCGCCGCGTGACAAAGGGATGGAGTATAATCTATGGCTCAAGCGCAGCGAAATCACTGTTTTGGATATCGACATCGGTTCTTCGGCGTCGACACGGAGACCGTGGACTTGGGCGACTAGAGCGGGCGAATAGAGTTTGTCGCAGCCTAGAGATGAATGGTACGTCAGAGCGTAGTTCTAGACATCGTAAATCCGCAAATTCGCAGTACCAAGGCCGTTGAATAAGTGCTGCGCACGGCCTACCGCTCCCGCATGCGACCCTACATTGGGAGGCCGCTGTCAGTGTTACGGTAGATACAGCTTCGATGCCTGGGCGCACCTGGATGCAATACACAGAGATGTTACTGGAGTCATAAAGTAGAGCCGATATCCGAACACCGCACGCGACTCATGGTGACGGTGACGGCGCCGGGGGAGGCAACTTAACGCCACTGTTGGTCTTACGCGCCGGGGGAGAGCACCTTCACAATTGCACAGCTGTAGATTGAGGTGGATGAGATCGCAGAACGAGTGAGCGGCTTGGATGAATAAGTGGGGAGGCACGCACGGAACAGGATTAGGACGACAGAGCCGGACACGGACAGCACAATGGGCGGTCGAGGACAGCATCCCGTGCAAACCGGGCTGACGGTGGCGGTCCACCACCCATCGATCGCACGTGGCAGAAATGTGCGCGTTCCCGCTTGGTGGTCTGACCAGATGTCCGTGCGGCTAATGTTAGTTTGTGCAGCCGCGGACGTAGCCAACCACCGTATTGTGTCGCCGTGTCGCCACATGGACCTGTGACCGCGCCACCGCTGTCTGAGAACTTCTGACGCCGGCGAGAGAGACTGCTTGGAGGAGGCCGTCAAGGCACTAGACCGGAGGGCGCTGCACGAGGATGTAGAGCCGTTCTGGATTCAGTGACGGAGAGCTCGATGGCCGTGTGTGAGACAACCAGTGCGAAGGGGATACAAGTGTACAACTGTGGTGAACAAGAAGCGAGCCGGTCAGGCGTCGCCGGGGGATCTGGAGAATTCGAAGCCCCGATGACCCAGCGCCAACGTGCAAAGGTGCCTCGCAGCAGAGACAACGTGGGCATGTAAGTTCTAACGGGCAGATGGAGTGGAGGGCAGAGAGACGGGCGTCTAGAGACGGGCGGCAGGCTGCGGCTGCGGGCGAGCCCAGGGCCGGATGGGCGCCCGAGCCTGCCCGAGAGCGTGCCGTGGTGCTCCTTGCTTCCCCCACCCATGGTCTCCCATCGTCCGCCGGTCTCCCTGGCGCTCGCGCGCTGGAAGGACATCGGAGATCGAGGTCGCCGTATTGGCCACCGTCACGCCTCGCTCGCGCGTCGCACGCGATGACCGAGCCGACACACAAATGCGGTATGCCCTCCTGACTAAGTCTCTTGTCTCGCCACTGCCGCACCTCCCAGATTTGGGATGCCACCCGGCACCCTCGCCTTTCCGACTTTTGGTCCAAAGTCTGTTCTCAGGTGTTTCATCCCAGGAAATCCGAGATCCTAACACAACACAACCGACAATCTCGCCGTGATGAGCAATCTGCTACGAGCCCTCTCTGCAGACCACTCCTCACCGCTATATAAGTTCCGCGGCCTCGCCGTCGGTGTGTCCAGTACCCATTCGCTCCACCTCCCTCCCACTTAACATGGCCTCCTCATCCAGCCTTTGTGCTCGGCCTCTCAACCGGGGTGCCGCCTGTCTGCCCTGCCGCAAACTGAAAGCGGTAGGTCCTACTTGCCCCCACCCACCCCCTCACTACCTCGTTTCCCTTTCGTCCGTCTGCGCCGGGAATATTCGCAGCGGCCCTGCATAGTATATACTGACGTATATTTTCCACAGAAATGTGACGGTAACAAGCCGGCCTGCAGCCGTTGTATCACGAACAGCCGACCAGATGATTGCGAGTACGCTACCGGGGCCGAAGTGACACGCTCTCGTCTGCTCGAAGAAAATATTGCCCTGCTCGAAGCGCGCATCCGCGAGCTCGAGAACCCCAATGAGAGCACTCCCTCGGTTCAGCTCCACGATCCTCGCGGACGCGGATCCACTGCGTCCACGAGCGTGCCAGCCATCCCGCTCTACCCGGTCGCGGGTGCACTCCCAGCAGGTGAGCGGACCGTCAGTTGGTGATTTTTTCACGGAACATTCATCTGAGGACACGTATTCGCAGCCACCGCTGATCCCAGTCCACAGGAGGCGCAAATGCTGTGCGTATGCTGTCTTCTTTACGAATCGTAGATTTTCTCAAATACTCCTTCCTGACAGGGTTCAAACCTTCATGACACACGCGTCTCAGCTGGGGTTCTTCCTCAACCCTACGCGGTTTATGCGGCGACAAAATAACGGCCCTGGTACTGAAGCCCTCGTTGCCTCCGTCTACCTTTGGGGCAGTAAACTTTCATCATCATCAATGCTGCGCGCCTGCGAAACCACATTCATGGATCGTGCTACCCAGGCCGCCCTGGCTTGTCAAACAACGCCACCGGCCGCCCACACAGTCCTCCACATGTTGCAGGCCGAGGTTCTCCTCGCCAACTACTTCTTCTCTAATAACCGGGTCCTCGAAGGTCGATACCATGCCATCGCTGCTGTTGCCCTAGCCACGGGCAGCAGGTTGCACCTGCTCGACCCGCGCAATCTGGGTACTGACACCATTGCCGCCGGGGAGCGTATTCAAGCCTTCTGGATCGTCGCTGCGATGGACAAGTCATGGGCCGCGATGATGAACACGCCATCCTACATCCAGTGCCACAACGGTCGCGCTAACATACACGTCACCACCCTTGGCCGCTGTCCACGGAGGCGTATGAGCAGGTGCGCTAATCTCAAGTCATGCGCTGCATGCAATTTTCGGGGGCTTACTGAAAAATTTCTCTCGTCCTGTAGGGGATACTACTGCAGCCCAATGCGATGTACACCGTCATCGACTACGTCCGCGGCCACGTCGACGACAGCGGCGAGGCGTTCTCGCCACACGCGACGCGCATCAAGGCGTGTGCGATCTACGACCACGCCGTCTACGTCACGTCCCAGTTCCGCCCGGACATGCCCGACCGCGACGGGTTCATGGTCCGCTATCAGGCCGCGGACGCCCTCGTCCAGCGCGTGCACGGCGCGCTCGTCGCGCTCCGCCCCCGCACGCCGGACGACAGACGCGAGGTCCTCGTCTCCCGCACCTTCCTCTGCGCCGCCGCGATCCAGCTCCACGCGCCATTCGCGAGCGCCCAGCCGGCGGCGTGGCAGCGGAGCATCTGCGCCGCGACGGCCGCCGCGCGTGCGCTCGAGATCGTCGACCTCAACCAGACCCCGCACTTGGACCCGGTCGTCGCAGTGAGCCTCCCCGCCCCGTCTTGCCCGAGGCCATGCGCATGTGAGGCAGTGCTGACCGTGTTCCTTAGATCCTGTGGACACACATCTGCCGCACGCTGGTGAGCGAGATGCGTCGCGTGCGCCGGGGAGCGGCACCGATTTTGGCGGCGGACGAGCGGCGCGTGGCGACGTCGCTCGAGAAGATCATGTCGTCCATGACGCTCCTCTCGCTGACGAGCGCGCTGATGGGTGCGTGCGCCTCCTGTCCATCTTTGCCATTTCTTTCTAACAATTACAATCAGCATCACAGCTTGCAGAGATACAGCAGCTAGCGTCGACGATGTGAACGCGCACACTCTCCCAAATAGCCTGTTGCTTGCTGGACATCGTACATAGAGATTCAAGCGACCGCCGACCGTTTGCTCACAAGCCTGCTCTCACAGTTATATTTCCCCGGCCCCTGTTATCTCTACCGAGCTATTATCCTCCTGTTTGTTGTCGCTCACTGTAGCCTTTACATTATGTCGGCTCCTTTCTTGATGCACCTTACCTGGCGACAATACTAGATGCCTATCTCGCTCCGCGCCCACTGTGGGAATCTTCATGGCCCAAATGGCCAAGCAACCTCAGGTCCTTCCGGTCAAAAACACACGAGAAGGACTGGTTTTCCGTCCCACACATGTAATACCGTGCTATATACCGGCGCTCCCCTCCCTGCCTCCTGCCAGGAGCGCTGACGAATTGAACTGAACCGATCACGAATTGATCTTTGTCAGTAGAGGCTCGATTTGATATGGAAGCAGTTCGATTGTGTTGCTGACTCTTGGCTGACTCCACGTAATTTGTTCAGTTCACAGTGCGGCGGTTCAGCTCCGTGTTGAGCCGAGCATACCTGACACACTTTCCTGGATTGCTCAGGCCGTGGCACGTGAGACGGTCTATGGTTCTGCTGCAGCTTACAAAGTTCGTTGCCCACGTACTTATGTTTCGCGTTTCCGTTGCAATTGCGAAAAGAGCGGGAGGAATTGGGGAGGAACCGGTGTTCCACAGCACTTGCTATTCCGGGCGACCAGGTATCCGCGTGGCTCGGGTCCATGAGCGCCAGAGTGCCGCCTCCGTCTCAGTCTCCGTTGACCGCCTCCTGCCGCCTCCTCCTTCGCCCCGATTCGTCTCACGATCCCCGGCTCGCCCGGCGCTGACGCACTTAGCTTCACCATGAAATCCTTGGCGAGGCTCACCTCTCTGTCGACTCAGACGTTATCCCTGTTGCTGGAGCGGCAACGGCTGCAGACGCTTGCGTCCAACTCTTCAACATCCCTGCACGGCCCGCAGATCGCCAAGAACCTCGAGCAGTTGCGCGCCGGGATCGTCGAGCTCGAGCAGAACGGCGCCCCATCGGAGGCCTCGCGCCTGCTCCGCCAGCAGCACGAGCGCATGCGGGGCATGCTCGGGCCTGACGCGGACGCGCTGGGCGTGCAGAGGTGCGTGCTCCGCTCGTGTGCGTGTCCCGCAGTGGCCGACCCCGAATACCTCCCCCTCCCCTTCCCCCTTTCCGTGGACATGTGCTCTGTAGGTGCGCGGAGCCGCAACCAGACCCGATGCCCGACGCGCCATCCTCGTTTTCGCTCGCGACCGCAGGCCCACCACACACGTCGTCCAGCGACCCGCACTTCGCGCCGTACTCGGACGACCCGGAGGCGGGGTACTCGAACGGGGAGATGCTGGAGCAGCAGCGGATGATCATGGACGACCAGGACGTGCGCCTCGACGAGCTCTCGCGCTCGGTCTCCCGCCAGCACGACATCTCGCTCCAGATCGGCGACGAGCTCGACGTGCACACCGGGCTGCTCGAGGGTCTCGACCACGATCTCGACCACACCGACACGAGGCTGCGGGGCGCGAGGAGGAGGTTAGGTCGGGTCGCGCAGGGCGCGAAAGAGAACGGTGCGTGTTTTGTTCTCCTCATGCTGCCTGCAGTAGTTGAGCTGACGCGGTTCTGTGTCCCGCAGGTTCGGTCCTCATGATTGGGCTTTTGATTCTCGTCCTCTTCATTCTTATCATCGTCTTCAAGACATGACCCCATGCGCACATACCCTGCTGGTCTCTCCCCGGATGTATGTACTTGTCCCATATTCACGCCGTCTCCGTTCGCTTCCTTGTTGCCGTGGGTCCGTTCAATGCTGGTCAAATTTGTCGGATAGAAGTGCGATGTTTTAGCTCTGACAGCATCGAACGTCGCCCGTACTTCTCGGACGTATCCTATTACATGCACAGCCTCTTGGACTTCGGGTCTGCGGACGGTTGTTCAAAATCTTGAGCAAGCACGACAAGGCGCGGGTCTGGGTGATGTCCAAAACACGCACGCGTTTGCATGTCGAAAGCCGACAGCCTCAGAGTCGCAGATAGTGAGTGTCACACACCGGCAGTGTTCAGATAAGGCCTGTTACATCTGTTCAACGACCCAGCTACTGCTTTTGGCCCGCACGCTTGGCAGCCGATCCCTAAACGCGATACCCGACCCTATTGCACGCCAACCAAAACTCTCTCCCTCCCTCTTCGCACCACCCCAATGGACCAAGGTCGCACTCGGCACAAGCCAGCAGTTTCATCCTTCCTCCTCCCGGCGCTGGCACCAAAAAAACGCGTCAGCCATCGAGTCACATTTTTCAGCCCAAACCCAAAAACAAAGCTCGCGGCCGCGGCGGAAACCCAGACATGACAGAGCATCCGACGCAACCCACAGCCGTGTGGTATACTCACCGCTCAGACCCTGCACCGGGCGCGAGAAGCCGATGTTCTCGAACGCCATCGCGCTCCCGCGCACGAGCCACCACTCTGCCTGCGCCGGCGGCGCGGGCAGCGCGCCCAAGCACTCCGGCCGCGTCAGCCCCGCGCCCTCGGGCTCGACGCGCACGCTCGCCGACGCGGCGTGCTCTGCGGCCCCCGTCTTGAGGATGACGCTCCCGCAGCCGGCGCGCGGGCAGACGAGATCGTGCGCGTTCGCGCCGTCCGCCGCGCGCACGTCCGCGACGCCACCGGGGAACGAGGGCAGCAGGCGCGCGGTGGGCTGCGTGCGTGCGGACGCCGAGGCGCGTTGCAGCGCCGCAAGCACGTCCGTCTGGCTGACCCCCGGGGGCAGCTGCGTTGCAACGGCCTGCTCGGCGGAGTCGTCGGGAACGACGGCGGGGGGCACGGTCTCGAACTCGCTGAACTCGGCGCACATCTCGACCCACGGGCGCGGGCCGTGGACGACGGCGCTGGGCCCGCGGTCCGCGAAGCCGGCGGCCGTGTAGAAGGGCACGAGCTCGGGGTGCGTGATGAGCACCGCGCGGGCGCAGGTGCGCGCGGCGGCGAGGTGGGCGAGGTACGCGCGGACGAGGGGGACGCCGACGCCGCGGCGGTGGTGCGAGCGCGCGACGCAGACGGAGTGGATGCAGACGGTGGGGCCCGTGGGGTCATGCGTGGACATGGAGTCGTGGGTGAGCGTCGGGCCCGCGGCGCGTGTCGCACAGACGTAGCCGACGAGCGTGCGTGGGGTGGTGGTGGGGAGGTATGCACCCAGGAATAGGGAGGGGGCTTGGGATTGGCGGAATCTGCGGGTGGGTTAGAGCCGGCGTCGTGTAAACTGGGTGATAGAGCGGTGAGATGTTGACGAGAACGCTATGGCACACCTGAAAGCTTCGAGGCTACCCGCCTCGTCCTCCGGGAAACCTAGGAAGTCAGTTCAGTCACACTGCTTGCCCCGCCGCAGAGGACACCGAGCGCGCCAACGATTTCAGTAGATTGAGCTGGGCACTCACCATCCACCTCGAGCTTGTGTGCCGCCTCGAGCTCATCGGGCTTAACGAGATCGTACACGATCGCCTCCATTGCGTGTCGTCTCGAAGGGATTGCTTGTCTCGACAAAGGGCAGTGTTTGGCACGCCGTCGTCGTAGTTGGGAAGGGCCGTAAACGCTCGGATGTTGACTCGTAGGATGTTTGACGCTCGACTCCTGAATGGAGTTAAGTCCGATTGAGAATTCGCAAAGAGGGTGCAACGGACCCAAAGTGCTCGATCGCGTGCGCGGAGGTAACTTGGGGTCCCGCGCAAGGACATCCCGACGGCAGATCATGCTCAAAATTTCACAAGACTGTGTGCTCCTAATATTATCTGGGCAGCGAAGAAGGATTTGGCGCCGCCAATCGCGATGCATCGTCTATGTAGCTATGGTACAACGTACAGCGCACTTAATACACAGAGCAAGCGGCACTTGGCGTACATCGATACAACAACACAAAGACCGCGGGACTGGATATGTATGTGCAGCAAGTCTGGAATCCAGGAAAACGCGGGGGGTAACGGGCACAAACGAAGAACAAACTGAACAATCAACGATACAATTCAGCGGAGCGAGCAGCGTCCATATGTGTGTGATGATGCGGGAGACGACGAATAATACCGAAAAGACGGACAGCCCCGCCAGCAGGACGTTTAAGTACGGATCCAAGACGAAAGGATTACTCCGATGGTGAAAAGGACTCGGACTAAGGATATCACATAGGCCTATCCGAGACATCGAGAGCGAGCAACTATCCCATGACCGAGGGGTAGCTGACGCTCTCGCTGAGGTGTTCGTTGCCAGGGTTGTAGGTGAAACCACGGAACTGGTCCTGCACCGTCTCGGACAAGGGCGTGTCGTCGACGTGAGAGTCTTGCGGCTTCTCCCCGGTAAACTCGGCGTCGAAATTTCCAGTGTCCAGCACGGATTCCTGGCATGCTAGTCAGCGTGCTGCTACCAAACCAACAGATCACTGTGGAGACTCACGACAGTGGGCTTGAAGGGAGGTTGAATCTTCTTCGCCATTAGCCTGAATTGAGAAGCACACGTTAGCTTATGCCCGCCACAAACTCTTGTTACTACGTGGATAAAGGTTGACTCACCGGTGCCAGTCAACGTGCTTCGAGAAGAAGGGGTGCCGCTTGATCTCTTCAGCGCCGTTAGATCCGAGACGCTTCGCAGGGTCGCGTTGGAGAAGGCCCGTGATAAGAGTCATCGCATCGTGTGGCATGTCCTGCGGGAAGAGCAGCGGATCCGAGACGATGCGCTGGTACATCACGTTGACATCCTCGTCGTAGAACGGTGGAAGACCAGTCTGGTATCTTGAGTAAAAATCCGAAGCGTTGACTTAGTAATCGGGTGACATACCATCATCTCGTACAGAAGTACACCGAGGGTCCACCAATCTACCGTTTTAGTGTATCCTTGGTTCATCAAGAGCTCCGGTGCGATGTATTCCGGCGTTCCACAGAAGGCTAGTCGGGAATTTTTGTCAAATTTCCCCGTGTCACTTCGGAGCGCACTGGAGAAATTCGCGTACTGTTGGTCTTCTCGGTCTCGGACATGTTGAGCTTACAAAGCCCGAAGTCGCAAAGCGCGATATGCCCTGTGTAATCAAGAAGAATGTTCTCGGGCTTCAGGTCGCTAGGGTCCGTGTTGGTTAGAGACTTCCGACACCAAGTCACATGAAAGCATACCGGTAGACGACGTTGAACCCGTGCAAGTGTTCAAGAGCACACAGTAGCTCGGCCGCGTAGAAACGACTCCGCCCCTCGTCGAACTTGCCCTCGCGCTGTAAGTGGTAGAAGAGCTCTCCGCCGTTCACTGGGTAGCAATGTTGGATTTGATATACCCCAGAGGCGTACGAGACTCACCAAATGACATGACCAGGTAAAGTTTGTCGGGCGTCTGGAATGAGAACTTGAGTGGCACAATGAATGGGTTATTCACGAGTGCGAGGACCGTGCGCTCCGCCAAGATATGCGTGATTTCACCAGGGCGCGATGCAATGTTCGCCTTGCGGATGGTCTTGAGCGCGTAGATTCGGTGCGTGTCCTTCTTGCGGACCTGCATAACCTTCCCGAACGAGCCTTTGCCGATCACCTTCAGGAGATCGAACTGCTCGATCGTGAGCCCCTCGTGCTGCTTTGACTTGAAGTCGATCTTGAGATGGAACGCGCCCGAACCCGCAGTCGCGTTGTACCATTGGTCGGAGACATGCTATGCGACAGGAGCCAAAGAGGGGAAGAGGAGGACGTGCATGGGAGAGGGACGCGGGAGGACCCGGAACGTTAACTCTCAGACACTGCGTGCAGCTTGGGTCTACACTCACTTGACCATCCAAAACGGGCGTGAGGTCCACGCGCGCCATGAGGACATCGTTGCCCATGTCTTGGTCGCTCTTCACGCATTGCGCGGTCCGCAGATACGCAGAGAGGGAGATGTTGGACGTGCGTGATACGTCGCTGAACAGGCGCATTCGACATCAGTACTGTGCCCAAGCGGCGCTGCGCTAGACGTATCTCCGAACGGCCCGATGGGAGCGTCCACTGGGGCGCCCAAGTCTCGGAAGGGACGTGGACTTTTACGCCATCTCATGGCCAGAAACCCCACCCGAGAGTCCGATGGAACAGTTTCCGGGCATGCGCCTGGTTTGAGCTTCTAGGAGCTCTTGCCGGGTTCTGCAGTCCCGCGCCCGCCCCATGATGCAGCAAAAAAGAGAGGACAGACGTACAAGTCAGCTCGATGATTCCACTCCGGCTTGGAGAGGTCTCCGCCCGTCGCCTCAATGAGAACTTCTGTCTTGTCAAACTCGAGGACGAGGTAGGGTAGCCACCAGTGTTGGTATGACTTGCGGGCCATGCTGTCACGATTGCTCGTCGACCGGCGTGCCGGTGCGGTGTCCAAGGCTTTCTGGATGACATCGGGGACTGCGACACCACTGGGGAGAGAGAGGCCGCGCCCTATAGGCAAGAAGTTGCGACGTCAGAATGTGTCAAGACTGTGACGAACGGGGAATGCGCGGACGGTTGAGAAGGTGGCGGGTGAGAGCAAGCACTTACCAGAGAAGATCCGGATGGTGAGGGTACCCGAGCGGAAGTTGCTCTCTGCAGTATCCATGGGCTTGGGGGTGACCGAGCGAGAGGGCTGAGGAGTGACCGAACGAGAACTGTGGCCGTTCTCCTTCGAGTCTTTTGAGGGCTCTGTGAATGCGGGGTCGCGCATCAGTTGCTGCGAGCTTGGGACGCTATTTGGGGGACCACACACTCTTCACGCCGAGCTTCCAAGAGGACATCGTGGGCGGAGGCGAAAGCGGGGTGGAGGGTGGATTGTATGCGCTGGCCGCGCGCGAGGCTGGAGGTGAGGGGAGGAGGCAAGGAGAGGATTACTGTTCTTTCTTAGCGCGAGCCGAGCGCAAGGATCTGTCCTCCGACCAAGATCTTATCGCCGACCTCCCTCCCATAATAGATACTCCCGTGGGCTCCCGGCGCGGGTCCGTCGTGATCTCTCTTTGACCATATGCTCCACTCCTCGTTGCAGGGCCTAGGCTCCATCTCGTACAACTCTGACTAGCTTTCCTTCCCCTCGTTCGATGAGGAGCGTTTGACATTGCATGGAGGATTTGTGCGTACGAGAGTCTGAGAGTCTATCATGTCTCGAGGACGACCGTACTAGTGCTCTTCCTAACGTACTTTCCCCTCAATGACAGCTACACATACGTCCGACGACCGTTGCGCAATCTTGCCAGTCCCTGTCAGTAGCCACAATGCCACTTCGAGCGCAGCAGGCCGCGCCGGGGTATGTTGGTTCCGCGGCAATTGCATCAGCAAAAGGTGTTTTCCATGGTAGCGCCCGATAACACGCGACACCGCCATATCGGGACAGGTCATCTATTGTCTGCGCGATAAATGATGGTAGCAGAACGGTAGCAGCTGACATTAATTCGTCTTTGCTATGACATTTGATCGCATTTTGTGGCCGCATACAGGATATGATGTATTAACTACCGGCACTAGTAGCTTAAACAGAAAGCTGTAGTCGATGATCGTCGATGATCATGGGCTCCTTCAAGGGTGAATCATGGGGCGCGTGGGGTGCATAAGAGGTTCGTATTGAGCTATACATTCGATTTGCAAAGACGCGAACAGTGTGCACGGCAGAGAACGCGGTGCGCGCGAGGATGGATGGACGACGGCGCGGGCGCCTGTTCAATCGCTTACGGGCCGCAGACCGACGGCGGCGACGGCGAGTCCCACCTTGCCTCCTCCCATCCTCCTCTGTTCCCCCAGTTTGTTCTTGACGCTTCTTCTTTTTTGCTTCTCTGCGGCACCTCGTCGTGCTATGAAAATCCTCTTCTTCATCAGAATGTCTGCTTCTAAAGTGGGACACGCGATCCAAACGCGGAACATCGACTCGTGTCCTTGCTCATTTGAGCATTGTTTTCCATTAGGTGCGCATTTCATCTCTCCCTTGCGTTCCTTGAAGCGACCCAGTCCCCAGACAGCGATGCGGGAGCAAATAGTTCATTGCACATAGAACGAAGTCCTCACTCTCGCGGTGGCAGAATATGCGCGGGAGCAAAACCATGACACTCACCTGGAGGACCTCGACCTTTCGCACGACGCTCACATGCGAGCGCGAGCTCGTGAAATGTACAGGAGAAATGTGGTATCGCACGGCGGGGTCGTTTGGGCATCGCAACCTGGCTCGTCCTACGCCCAGCGCGTGGTCCGTGCTCGTGAGGCCAGTGCGTATGGGTATTCCAAGGTGCGCTGGTCACCCCCTCTCATGGTGGACGTCTAAATCATACCGTGTCGGGCTATCTCGCTTGCCCTGGGTGCCCCGATAGGCCGGCCAAGTATACGCATGCGCCCGTTGTAGCCATGTGCGCTTCAGCACCGTCCAGGGTTCCTGGGGGGAGCGTGGTACGTTGACGCTTTTATCCGCTTCTATACGTACCGCGAGCTATAGCGAGGTCGCACCTCGCCGTCACCGCGACGCTCGCTCAGGGCATGCCGCTTTTTATTCGCACGCATGGTTATGTGGGCCATGTCCAACCGTAGAATCCCGCGCTCTTATCGAATGATGTGCGGGGTGAACACCTGTACGTCTATCCTCTCTGTGTTTCTACGTCCCTGGTGCCAGCTGCCAGACATGCTATTCAATGCACTCTTTGTCAAATTCTATTCTCTCCGCCAAGTTAGGCCTCCTCAAGCTCTCCCACTGTGGCAACCTGTAGGCATACAACACGTAATTGAAGCTGCTCAACAATGTCGATTTCGAGCTCGCCAAGCAGGTCGTCCAGAACTTCGGCGAGTCCGTCTCGACTCTCCTCTAAACCTGCGTGGCCCAACGCCGGACCCTCTTTCCGCGAAGCTCTCCCAGCTCGCCGCCTTCTCCCTCCGCGAGCCAACGATCAAACCACGCCGCATTGCGATTCTTGTCGTCGATGACTTCAACCATGCGCGGGTTGACGGCACCCCCACTGCGCTCAAGGCCGGAATGGTGACCATGTGGATCGTCGGGCCATGCTGGAGGCCTGTGTGCCCCACGGGCGATGGCAGGAGCAAGGCCTACCCCGCGGACCACCACTACGGGGGTCAGCGAAGCGCTCTGTTCGACGCCATCGTCGTCGCGAGCAGCGCGGCAAACGCCCGCACTGGGCACTGGGCGAGGGCAGTGAGTGGGTCGAGAGTTAAGTCAAGATATATATCGTTGGGGAGACTTACTAATATGGAGGTCCGTGTTGGTAGCGACATTCTGAAGTCCAAAGGTTGCTTACGGTGATTCCTTGCTAATTGTTGTGACTCGATGCGGCGGCGCCGCAGTGGCGTCCCGCTTTGACCTCCACTCGGTTGTTCCGAGACATGGGCGCGTGTGCGGGCATGCGCGCCTATTACTGGGCTCAACCCGCGACCGCCATCATCCCCCAAGTGCGATGTGCCACTCACGCTCGCGCACGACCATTTATCAAGACGTGGTGAGTTCCTCATCATTCTCTGCTCCAAGCATCTCGTTCACCGTACTCACACTTCTATCGACATCGACATGGCTTTCAACACCCTCTCGTGGCAGACGTCTTGTTGCCCTCACGGCCGCCACTCTGCGCCCTAGGTTCCACCTCCACGAAGCCAACACGACCACCCTCTCTCTACATTTCCGCATCTGCGGACTAGACACGAGTCACAACGTGTGGTTCGCAACGGGGTGAGCTCGGTGCACCTCCTGAACGAGAGGCTTCAAGTTATGGCGCTTATAGCGGCGGGTCGGTCACATGTGATGAGCCACCGTCCACACGAGGTGTGAACTTTGGTTAAAATATCCCCTTCCGCCTCTTCTCCTCCTCTTCACACTGATTCCTCAGCCTTGCCGACAGTGTCAACGACTCAACGTTGCTTCCGTCGGTAACCACTGACCTATCACCAATTCGCGTGCCCTCGATCGACTCGCTGTACTCGCAAGCAGGGTGGTCTTGGCCTGGATCTCCTGCTCATCGCGCGCCCCGACATGATGTCAATCTCTCACGACTACGGCGTCTTCATTGAGGATGAGGGCATGATCGCCCTCCGCGGGCTCTTTCTCATCGACTCTATGAAGGTATCCTCAGGTGCGTCCGTATTGGAGCAGCATACGTTCGACGGCTGATCGTGCGTTCGGTGGGGCCGGACAGACAATCACGATCAATAACCTCCCCATCAACCGCTCGGTCGAGGAGATGATCCGGCTCGTGAAGGCGTTCCAGATCACCCAGTGGATGCGTCTCTCTTCCTCGGTGTTCCCCGTCGCCGCTCCCGCTGACCTCTCCTTCAGCCTCGCTCCCCCTTCCCCTTCCCCGTTTGTGACGCAGCCGCAGGAAGAGCATGGTGAGGAGTGAGGGAGCGAAGACAATGAAGACGCGAGCATCTACGCTCAAGGCGACCATCTCCCTGCGCCCAACCAATTCCCCCTTTCGCGCCCATGGCGCCCCTCCACACCTGACGTGTTTATCTCGCCACGCTCGACCGAGCTTTCCGTCCCCTCCGCATTGACCCCTCTATCAGGTCAGCACTGTCTAGATACGAATTTTCTACATGCTGTTACTGATCACTCCGATAGTACTAACGAGAGGGAACACTTCCCTCAATTCGGGGAGTATGTCGACGTGCTGATACTCGGCCACATTGCTGACTACGTAAGCCCTTAACTCTGCTCTTGTGTCCGTTGTGTACCATACCTGCTGTTTTGTATTTATCCCAAATGGATTATTGCGCAATTGAATTATATCTGCGTGATTATACGCGAGCCCTAGTGTGCGACAGAAGACGATAATGTTCAGCATGATGCTGTAGGTTCTCTGTCATCTCCTCCGCTAACTCTGACCTCTTATCGTGTAGCACTATCATCTCATGCGCCGCAGATGACCGATATACGGTCGTGCGCGCACTCAGACTTGATAGCCCTGCCCGCGAGAATCGATCATCAGTTGATAGCGGAAGAAGCAGACGGCCGTACAATACGGGATACTGCATTCTTTGGATACTAATCTACCTTCTATTGTCTTCGCTAGCACTAACTATCGTACGCTACAAATGCCCCAGTGCACGATCATACACTATCGTTTCCGCACCTACTTTGCTGATGTGATGTCAGCCGTGCTTGCGCGCGCATCATGCGCCCACTGTCGATAGCCCGACTTCTATGACCGTAGCACGTTGTCATGGCATGCAGGAACGCCGCGGTGCTGCGAATTTCGGCGGGCGTGGATCCCCGAGTGCTTCTACGCGCAACTGATTCTACTACAACTTCTATCGTCATGTCCAGGATAGCCAGTGCACGAATAATTCTATCCCCTCGCAGCACACAAAATGTTCCAAATTGTCTTCCCTACCACATCTACGCCATCATTCTTCCACTCCGCGCGTTGCTGGTAGTCTTCCACATTGGCGTTGTCAAACACGCCTATCGAGCTACGCGCCTTGACGATCTCGTCCACGATCTGCTGATGAAATTCGGGGTGCCCTTGCACGGTAAATATGTGGACGTCTTCTGGCTTGAGAGACTCCGGCGATGCGCCAGGGTAGAGCTCTACCATGCCTTGGTTGGGGGATACGGGACTGCTCCCGAGGAGATGGAAAGACGAAGGGACCTTCGGGACGTGGTCTCTGTGCATCTGTTGTATGTTCTATGAGGGAAATAGAAGCGTGTATTTCAGACTTTTCCCTGCCGAATGCAGTTTTTTGAAAGCTCACCAGCTCTGGGACGCCGAAGAGCTTCTTCCCTGCCTCTGTGAGGTCCAATTTTGTGGGCCCGATCTCCCACTTCCCGTCGTTGGGGACGCATTCGCCGCCGAGTGCGCGCGCGATGATCTGGTGTCCGAAGCAGATGCCTATGGAGGAGATTAGCGCAGAGTGCGCGTAAAGTGCGAAGCGCGGCCGACCTATCAATCTGACATTCGGCCTATCAGTTGCTACAAACCGGACGAATTCGACGAGCTTGTTGATCCACTCCAGGTTTTCGTAGGCGGAGGCGGCTGGCTACCATCATCGTATGCAAGGTCGTTTGGAGGAAGATAAGCACGCACAGGAACCAGTGAGGAGGACAGCATCGTACAGATCGATGTTATTGGGATACTTCATATCATCGCGGACATGAAAATCGTCAACAACAAACTCAACATTCTCGGTGCCGGGCGCAGATGCTTTGAAGGCTTGCAATGATTTCTCAAAGAGCGTGCTGAAGATAGCTCGATAATCGCCATATGCGGCGAGCACGGCAGGATTCGGAGTGTCGCATTTGAGGACGGCGATGCGCACTGGAGCGGACATCATGTTTAGATCTCGACGTTGGGGATTCGGTTGGTTGGATGCGGGAGAGTGGCAGGAAAGAGCGCAACGAGATCTTGCGATAACCAAGTAGTAATCAGCCTTGAGACTCTCGAGGCGGCGGGGGGACGGCACATACAACTTCAAGTTACAACCTACTATATGCTAGGCTCTGCAGGTCTGATGGGGGGCTTGTAGGGGGATCCAGTTGGTTAAAGCAGGTCGGTCCAACCCACGTGGTAATCTGGATCGATGTCCCGGGCCAATCCCGGGCTGTACGTTAATATACTCCCGATGGTGTCGGAGCCCACGAAGCGCCCGTCACGACGGGCAACGGCCCAGCTTCGGAGCCCGAAAACGCGTAGAAAAAGCCTGTCAAAGGTGTCTTTTCTGCTGCCTTTTGTGCGCGTGTGAAAAAGGCAATAAAATGGGCAATTTCTCCGGGTGCTTTACGGGGTGCCGAAAAGGATCGATAAAGAGACCTTTGGTGCCCGTTTCAATAACACGCGTTACTTATCACTCGTACTAACTTGTTTGTTACTCACATACTATACACGTTCTATTGCCCTTTAATGTGAATTCTACTGTCTTTGCTCTGAGCACAGTATTCTGTCGGGCCGAAGAATTCACCCAAAACGTCACCTTTCAGGATACTCTACGACACACACAAACTTGACATAAAAGTTCGCCTTTCCCACCCTTTTTCTCCCCTGGAAAAATACCTGCCGAAAATGACACCTTTGACAGGCTTTTTCTACGCGTTTTCGGGCTCCGAAGCTGGGCCGTTGCCCGTCGTGCGTGCGTCGTCCGGTTGAGTTCCGACCTCTTGAGTCTTATATTGAACAATCTTTACAGATATCCGGTGGCACGTCAACCGGTCTTGATTTCACTATCCCCAGGTTGAAGTGTTGCTCCACACCAACCCTTTTTGTTATATGGTCCATACTTCAGGCTGTAGACCCAGCTTTTCACGAGCGATGGACAGTCGATCGAGAGCGATCGCCTGACCATGTCACTTGGAAGTTCTCGCTGTCTTGGTCCCTATCTCTGTGGAAATCTCCTCATGAGTTTCACTCCTTGCATTTCTGGGTCAGCGGTTGCGTCAACATTGACGTGCTGCTTGCATTTTGAGGGTCAGTGGTGTATGTCTATGCCTGAGTGATCTGCTTCATTTCATCTCAGCAGCGTTCAGGGGCGTGCGCGTCAGTCTTCAGATGTCTGGACTCTGGTCGTGTGAGTTCACATCCCCGATCTACCTCTCCATTCTCTGCCAGTCATACGTCATCCGAGAAATTGATATCACGTGCTGGAGCCCTACTCCAGCCAGATGCGGATCCCATTGCGGTAGCGCGTTCCTGTTCGTTTCCGCCATGTCCGGTCTACTTCTCTTCGCTCATCTCCCTGTCCGGGCAGGCGAGTGCCCCGACAAGGGCTACTATGTCTACTATCAAACGGCTATTCGTTGCGCTAACGGTGCAGATCCCGAAGAGCCAAAGAAGAACAAGCTTCTCCCCTGCTCCCTGCGGGTCTACGCAGAGAATCAAGTCATTTGGCCTGACCATACTGTCGTCCTCCTCCTCGCTCGCATGGCTGTATCAGAAGATGCTAGGCATGGTTATCTGGACGCCGTTCTTTCCATTCCCGTTCCCGGCGACCCTGATTCGGACGACTACATGTCCTCCGAAGCACGGATTCCCGTGCCGTGGGTCCTTGGTTCCGGAATGGTCTCATGCGCGGAAAGCACGTTCAAGTCTGGGAAGATGTTCCGCGTGAACGTGCAGGAGTTCGTTCGTAAGAAGGACATGGCCTCCCGCATTAGGTAAGAGTTTCTGATTTCGATTTCCTTTTCTGAGTGCATACACTCGCAGTGTCCTCGTCCCACCTGACAAGCCGAGGCGATGGGGTAATTTCAAGGTTAACTACGCTCAACGGGTCCTCTTCATTGGGACCTGTGAACGACTTATGGACGACGGTCAGTTGGCCATCGCTCTGGAGGCTGTCAACTTCCCTCCCAAGGAGCGTGCCATGGGCGTTGCAGCTGCACACCCTGCATCCTTGCCTGGTCCATCTACTTCGCCGCCATCAAAACGTCGTCGCATGGATGAGCTGTAAGTCTTTGATACTGTTTTCGTTGCGCGTACGTCAGCCTCACATGATCCAGTGATGAGCTTGATGCAGTCGATCCTCTGGATTCCATGACCCAGGCGACGATGTCGACCCCGTCTCAGTCACCTGGTGCCGGTGAGTCGACCAGTATTGTCTTTGTTTTAGCTAGGAGTTGATTTGTCGTCACAAGGCCCATCATTTCACGTGCGTGACACATCCGCGCAGGATGGCGGAGACGCCTCTGTCAACGGTCCAGTGGAGCTTGGACCTGCACCAACTTCGCAGCACAAGCTCCGTTCGAAGAAGGCGTGATGGCACGCGGCGGACCCCTGAATGATGTAGTGGTGGTCTGATGGTGTACGATATAGTGTTCGCTGTATTGTGTACGATATCACATTTGTTTCCTGTCATTGCATCCCCTACGATATTCTCTGTGTCCTACTCTCCTGTTGGCGCTTTGCATGTCCGCTGGACATACAATATCAACAAACGGGGACACAACGGGAACGGACACAGTACATGGTCGATGCTAGTGCACGCACTCGCGCGCGCGGAGGCGGCGTTGCTGACTAATCGTGGTTCCCCGGCACACCAGTTCCGCATCGGCCGCTTTGCGCAAGTCCGTCCTGCGCTGTTGCCCTCGGCACCCGCGGAACCAATGCCGATCCCCGCGGATGCGACCGCGCTCGACATGCTGCGCGATGGCGACTTCGACTGGGACACGAAGCTGCGGGAGGTGTTCCTCACGATGAGCCTGGGCATACGGGCGAACTGGTGCGTGCCGGACACAGTGGGGTTGCTGTTAGGGAGCTACGAAGCGCTATCCACGGAGCGTGCCGGTCAAGTTGGTCACCGAGGAGTATAAGAAGAACTTTGAGTTCCCTCTGGTAAACTTTGCACTGATGGCGATCGAGCCAGTCGATATGTGCACAGCACATGTCATCACCCTTTCCCACTGAGGCAATCTGTGCTGTCCAGAACATGTATGCATCCACGCGCTCATCGTTTTCTTTGTCGAAGGTGTGAGCAGGGCAATTCACTGTCATGTGTGGTTCAGCTCTTCTGGAAACTCGACGTGGCCTACGATCGATGACCCCTACGCCTCAAACATGAACAGATCGTCGGATGACATCTTAAATTTGAAGACGCACTCGGAGACGTTGAGTACACTGCTTTGCCTTCTACCTTCACGATGCCAATTTTCGCTGAAAACAACACATCACGGTCAGGATTCCGTCTTCATTTCTGTCTACGAAACTAATATCTCGACAGTCGAGCTACAATATTGGATCTATATGTCAATCGTCTTTCAACAAACACCTGTATGTCGCCCCTTTATCTCGCAAATAGTGCACTCAATGTGGGTTCATTAGTGTTCCAATCAATTCAATGCAGTTTCCATATGGGGATCCACATTGTCTTGATCATCGTCCTATCTGTTGAATTACAGAATAGAGGACCATCTCATGTACATGTCCTTATCGTGTATGACCGTATCGGTACAATCACGGACACTGACGACTAGGGTTGTAAATGATCTAAGTGACGTCATGAACTGATCTCTGTTCGTACCACACTTTGTCAGACATGACTCAATGGTGACATATGCTCTGACCCTAGTTTGTGTATGCAGCATGTCGACGTTTGTTCGAGTGGCGTGTCTTTCATAACTCTTTCGTGCACAAACATCATCTCCATCCCATGCAATCCACTCGCATTTATCTCTTCATTCAAGGTATTCATAACGACCCAGATGCGAAACAACGTATGTCGTTAAAAGCTCTCCTGCGATGTATCATTTTATCTGAACGCTTTCATAGGAGTCATAGCCGCTGGTCATTCAAAAAGCAGTCGCCGTGTCACGTACGCCTGTACGTACCGCGACCGAATAGTAGCCTTCGTAAACTCTGTGATTAGCCAAAACCACATTCAAATCTATCCACGACTTCCCCTTCTCCTCACTGTAATTACCGTCTTCTTCATCCCGTTCACATGTTAGTCTCACAGTTTCTTTTAGGCGGGCCCGACTATAACATATCACACATCATATACCCCCAATGTCTGCCCTCCTCGGGCTCTGATGATGTGGCAGTTCACCATATGCGACGCCATCGTCTCATTCCGAGTTATGGTTGAACCTCCTCTCGCTGCTTATCAACTTGCACAGTTCCTAGTCGCATTCATAAAAGATATCTATACAACTTTCCTTCGTGACATCGACCACTCTGACCTCCCTCCTCCTTCGTTGAAAAATCTATGTTATCGTATCTGCCCGTCTCACGTATACGGTATCCTTTTCGTATCTCATGTGTATTCCTCCCGTATAAACATCTCTCAGAAGGTTGGAACTGATCCCTCTCGTTATACTTTCCATCCCTCCGCCCATGCTACGACATCTATCTCATTAACAACTATGCCAGCAGACGATAGTAACCTTCTACGGAGCGATTCCGTACAGAAGTCGTGGTCGATCTGTCGGTATGTTCTTCTGCTCTTTGAAGTTGTTCCTATCTCAATCCATTCAACAGATCTTTGCGCTTTGTATAAGCAGAAGTACTAAATGCCATGTGCATGTACGATAATGTATGGTATTCTATTGCAGGTTCCCAATCTACCTCACTGCCACTCGGACCCATGCCGCGTGCACTCCATCCTCACTCACGCACCGCTACTGTCTGCCGCAAGTCCCTGCTCTCCCACTTGACAGCAATGTGGCGTTGATCAGTGTCAATGGTACTGTGCCGTTCATGGTGTCACAGTGTCGCGGTCATCAACGTTCACATCCGTAGCATGGCCTCCAGCGATTGGTCTGGTCCATCAAGAGCGACACATAGTTTGGGTCTGGACGACAACAGTGGGCACGACGGCAGCTGCTCATGCAAGCGCCAGTGCTCATCGCCGATCGCGTAACTGGTCTCATCGCCGATCGCGTAACTGGTCTCATCACCGACTGCAACTCGTGCTCATCGCCGATTGCGCACCGACGCTGACGGACATACCTGCACTGTCCTTATGGGCCCTCTGTCATTCTAGACATGTATCCCTCCAGTCTTCACACACCCTCCGCCGGTTTCTAAGGCATCCATCGCCGATTGCGTAACCAGTGCACTGCACATGTATATATACTACAATACTACACGACACTCTTTAGCAATCAACACATTTCTAGTCTCATTCCTGCACACCTCGTCCGTTCCCGGCGTCGCTGGCCATCGCCTTCGCCGCAGACGCTCACCGTTCCCATCGCCGATCACACCTCGCGTGCCCATCGCCGACCACGCCTGATGCGCTCATCGCCGACCGCGCCTGATGCGCTCATCGCCAACCGCGCCTGATGCGCTCGTCGCCGCTCATACCTCGCACGTTCTCGTGACTTGCTCGCGTATTTGTTAACTACACTCCATTTTCGTCTTCGGGGGGCTGTGTGGACATAGATGTGGGCAAGACGAATGCGGTGACACAAAGGAAGGCGGCGCAGGCGACATGGACGACATGGACAACGCAGGCGAAGCACGTTGAGGCAGCAGATTCAGAGAACACGACCGCCAGCAGGAGGTGGTGGGCGACCCGGACGGGGGAGCGAAGGACAACGACAGTGGGCGACGCAGGCAGAGGAGGCGACATCGTCCGGGACGACACACAGCAAGGGGAGCCCGACGTGAGGGGGGTGACGACGACGACGGAGGACGGCGATGCGGAACCAGCGACACGGTAGCGACACGGAGAGCTCGCGGGAGAAAGGAAGGGGCCGCGACACAGACAGACGTCGGTGAGACGCGGAGCAGGGCTCGCAGGAGGAACTGGAGGGCGACACGGGAGGACACGGGCGACGTGAACGCGGGCGACACAAAGCCGCGTGACGCGGAGGACTCCTTCGAGGACGTGGAGGCCTGGGACGATGCGGAGAAGGTGCGTGACACATGGGCGGAGAACGGAGACATGGAGGTGATGGGCAACGCGTACTCAGCAGCAACGCGGCGGTGGTGATGGCCAACGTGGACGGAGGTGAGGCAGAGCCGGGCAAAGCAGAGCCGGGTAACGCGGAAGCTAGTGAGGCGGGAGGAATAGGGCAACGCAGGCGGGCTGCGTGGTTGGGCGGCGCAGGAAACGAGGGTGGCACGAAGAAGACGTCGGTCACGCGCGTGGGCAATGACGACGGAACATACACCACACGGGGGTGGGCGACTTGGGTGGGCGGTGCGAAGGGCATGGGCGACTCGGAAGAGAACGACCACCAGTCCCGGCGCGGGATGACCTGACATCATGGTGCACGGGCGGAGAGCGCTCGTTTCGAGAGCGCGGATGCGGCCAGTCGCGGAAGGGGTGGAGGCGCAGAGGGAACTGTAAAACCATCCCGAATGGCCAAGAAATGGTGAAGGTAGAAGTCGAGATGGAATAGAGGAGCGGGGGCAGGTCTTCAGCGCGATTGCGCTACGAATAGTTGGCCGATTGCGGTGATCCCGGGTGCGTTGGAACGCGCTGGAGAAGACGCATCGAACGAGCCCAGACGCCAAGCGAACAGACGAGAATCCGTGAAGCAATGACCGATATCCTGCCGAAAGACGATGCTTGAAGAGGATGGGGTATTCCGGACGAACGCGGGACGGGGTATAGCGGTAGCGGTGTCATTCGAAAACCATCGACGAGGGGACGAGGGCGGCGAAAGAACGAGGGTGTTACGTGCCGTATTCGTCGAGATCCAAGCCCATCAAGGTCGTCCAGGAACCACCAAATCCACCGTGTCCTCGGTTTTCTCCAAATCTCCTCCTGTCTGCGCGGATGCGGGTCGTTGGAGAGAGGACGTCCGGGAGAGGGAGTCCTCGGCTCGGGCTTTCATACCGGGTCCAACGACGAGCAGCCAAGGTGGCTACGTCGCAGCCTCCGCTAGAGAGCCGGCGAGAGTCCGGAGGCGAAGGGATCTTCGCCCACAGTCTTGACTCGAAGGGCAGGGTTAACGCAAAAAGATGTGAGGATCCGGGGGTGGTTTTCCTCGGGTGAGTCTTGAGGCCGTCGCAGGTGCGTTAGATCCACGTCTATAGCGGGGATACAACACGAGGGGTAGCGACGATGAGTCCTGACAACGACGTCCTCGGCCTGTCGGATTCGTTGTGGGGCATGGGTCGGCGTTGAGAATGCAGGAGAGCAGACTGAACGACTTACCAAAACAACGGCTGCAGTACATCACCGCACCTCCATATTCCAATATCCACACTGATTATGTCCGTATGGGCGTCGTCGTGCGGTGTGTTGGTTGTGACTGCGGTCTGGAAGGGTTTCCGAGGCGCCCATTCGTGATTGCGTAACCGGTCATTGTGGTCGCCGGCCGCACTTCGTACTCATCGCCGATCACGAACCCGTGCATACCTTCACCAACTGTGTATCCCATACCTCTTCCGACAGCAATAAAACGCTTTCTGTGCTCCTACGTGCCCTGCGAGAGCTATCCTACAGGATAACACCCCTGATCGTGAGCAACTCGGAGCCCTTTCCCTATGAGGATGAGAAATACACAGAATAGCGCCATAGCACCTGAAGGCTTCAGCTCAGAACTGCCAGGTTAGCACACGTTCCTCTACCTTCGCGCTCAACTGCTATACTGCTATAACTCGTCCATAATCCTTACTCTTCTTGCAGATGACTTCCAATGATTGGTCCGTTGGTCGCTTGCGTTCAGCAGACTTGGTATGGGTCAAATTCTGCGGGTTCCACTCATGCTTGCCGGCACTGCGGCGTCATTCTCCTAACCGGGGAAGAATCGGGCTTCTGCTGTGGAACAAATGGGTCTAAGCTCAACAGCTTCCCTCCTTTACCTGTTCTCCCAATACAATATAACCAATTCCTGTTCGACCCAAAAATCTCCTCTTTGTCCCGTGCTCTCAACCTCGTATTCTCCTTTGCATCTCTTGAATCAAGTGTCCCTTTCTTTGACGTTGGCGGTCCACCTGGGTTTTGGTCTGTT